ATTGGATCGGTACAATTAACTCATATTAACTCATATTAGGAGTTTTTAAAATAAAATTCGATAGATTATTGCTTTATTTTTATTTATTAATTTAATCTTATATACATTATATATTTATTTCAAAGATTTGATTTTTTTTTGTTCAGATAAATCGATTGCTGACATCATTTTAGGCGGGAAAAGTATCAATATGGACGCCATGATGACATTTATATTTTATGAAGAAAAGGTAATGTTTTAATTTCGAAGAAAAATGTAAGTACATATATAATTCATAATTATTATGTTGATTATTTGAAAATATGAAAATGATGATAAAAAAAATTTCGAAATAATTCGTAATATGCTAAATTGTTGATAGTAAATTTTATATAAAAATTTGCAAATATTTTCGAATATTTCTAATAAATGACGTATTATTAATTTTAATAATGAACATTCAAAACGTAATTTTTCTTAAAAATAATATGTATATATTGTAATATAATGTCTTTCTTAAGAAATACTTCATATAAAAACATTTTATTTTCTTTAACAACTTTCTTCTCCCCATTAATGAAATTTATTTTCAGATCATTGTGATCACGTGCAATGTGATCTATAGAGTCAGTGTTTGTTTCGCAGTATTTTTTATTTTTTTTAGAATTCAATAGCTTTGTGAAGTGAATTTAATTACAATAATCATACGCGAAATTAGAGTCAGTGCTTGTTCGGTAATTATACAGTGATTATACAGACGCATTAGTAGTTTTTTATTTTTATTTTTTTATTTTAATATTCGTTTTTGATAGAGTCAGTGTTTTTCTCAAGAATAAGGCGATCATCCACCACGCGAAGAGGTAATTATTTTTTTTTTGCCTTTTATTCTTTCACTGAAAGATAATCAGAGAATTTCAATTTTTAAATTTTAAGTTTTTATTTAAAAATATAAATTATTGTTATTATTTTTATTACACAATATGTAAACTTCAATTTTGATCATATTTGTAAAATATAATGTTCTACTTTTTTGCTACAGCTTTCACGATGATTTCTCATGGGTTAGCAGTAATGGCAATGCAGATTCTTCGCATCTAATGGTGAGTCGCATGCATTTTGGTTCCTCCAGTCACTCAATCATGTCGTAGGATGAAAGATCCGAATCGACACGAGTGATTGGTTGTATACGTAGAATTTTGCACGAGCATAGTGACCACGGATATATATTTTATATATCCGTGAGTAGTAAGATTTATTTTCTTTGTATTTATTTATTTAGTTTAGGCTAGGTCTTCTTGTACCTCGCGTTTTTAAATATTAATTCAAAATTGATCATAGAAATTTATTTAATTTGAAAGTAATAACTTGTAAGAGTATATTTAATATGGATAAATATAATAATATGGATATTTAATATTTAAGTGAATAATAATGTATGAATTAAAACGAATATTTGAATGTGATATTAAATCATTTCATTTTTTTTTCATGATAATGTTTTAAACGATTTAATTGTTTAATACTCAAGATAATATAAAATTTTATTCTTTTCCTTTGAAATGTTACGTGCAAGAAGACACTTCGCGACAGGTAGATTTTGAAATCAAAGCTGTGATTTTTGAATACTTGTATTTTCGAAAATATGCTTTGACGAAGAAATCACCTGAGGATATTTTCATTAATATTTAAACTCTGAATCAATATCTTTATTCAGAATTGAATTTTAATCACTTTTCTACTTTTCTAATTGATTTATTTCATTTTAATTAGTAATTCTTTTTATAGAATATTAAAATTTCAAAAACTTTCCTTATTAAAAAATAAAATATCAAATAGAGTCATTAAAATTTGAAATATAATGAGATTATATAAAATAAAAGTTCATTAGCCCGTTAGATATACAAAATATTTACACTAATCTATCTTTTTAGCTCAGGATTTTCAGATTTAACCCCTTCCGTGTTCATTGCCAGGATCTCACTCACGTATCCAGGTATTACTTGAGTGAGAGAAAGGCATTGGATACGATGACCCTAATTGATAAGTTTGTAAAAATTTCTCAGCGACTGATGATGCGTTAGCGTATCGTGCACGACGTATTTTCCACATTGTGTGTGTGTGGTTAGGCTGTGGAATTGCGTCGTTTCAACTATTAGTTCATCAACAATTATTTCATTACAATTATGAGAACAATATTACATCTATTACAGATGAAAAATTTACAATAATTAATCTTATTCTCAAATTATAATTATAATGATGATATTTCATTTTACATTAATAACATAACTTATTTAGAAAATCATTCTTCCAACATTTATAGAATTAAATGTAATTAAATATACAGATAGAAATTTGATTACTTTTTACGCAAAGGTCGCTAGCCTTCATCAGTCGATTTCAGGAAAATGGTACGTACAGTTAGAGTGCGAATGTAGTATGCCAAGCTCGGGTGTCGGAGGTGTCCCGGGACGCTTTCCCTAGTGTAGGCTTTTGCGCCCGGGCGTTATGTGTGAGAATCGTGGAATGAGTGTGTTGGTGTGCCTGTTTTGCCATTTTTTAAATATAGGGCTAGGTAGGATAGGTAGTATACTTCTTGTGTGCCTGTTAGTTATAAGTAGGTAGGGCCGGGCAGATTGTCACAGTCTCTGATCGGGTAGGCGCGTTTTCGTTCGTGACAATCTGTTTCAGGAAATAAAATTTGAAAAGTCGGGAATGAAACTGAGACGAGTGGTCATCGATGATCATTTGCCTCTGGTTTCGATCATCGATTTTTCGAATTCCGCGGTCGCGGTCGTGATTTGGTTTCGAAACGCACGTTGCGCTCGAGATTCTGCACATGTACGGAGAATGATCATTGCGATCGTTGATCGTCCATGTGTATTCAGCTTCCGCGATTTAGTCAATTTTTTTTATTTCTTTTTTTGTTTGCGATTAGCGAATCTCGAGCCTAGATTTAAGTTTCAGCGGGCATCGCGCCCGAAGGAGGAAGACCGAAGAGGCTCGACAAACTGTCACGAAGAGAGCTGCAACGAATGGCTTCTCATTTTTTGGATCCTGTTTGGATCCAAAGAATGGGAAATCATTTTTACTACTTTGTCACTGTGCTCGTTTTAGTAATATGTAGTAAATGTTTTTGTGTTGTCTGGCCGATTTGCATGCCGGCCCATCGGATCCAGTCATCAGGGGCATCGCGATTTTTTTATTAGTGTTGCGTTTGATTAAAAACGGGTTGAATTAGTGTTGCGTTGTAAAATATATCGCGATTGCTTTTAATTACTTTGATTATGGTTTAGTCTATTTTTTTTACTGTTTTTTTTTTTATTATTATTTAAACTTGTATTTATTTCATAGTGTTGCGATTGATTATATCGGAATATTTGAAGTATTTTTGCAGTTATAATAGTAGTCAATTTTATATTAATCTCATTTTAAAAATTAGCGTTGCGTTGATGAACGATCGCGTTTTTTAAATTAGTGTTGCGTTGATGAATGATCGCGTTGTTTAGTGTTGCGTTTACAAATTGCCCTTATTTCTTCCGTTTGGACCATGGAAGAACGTTTCTGCTCCTGGATCATCTATTGCAATCAAAAGAATTGCAGAAAGATGATTGTACTACAAGCTAGCAGCGTGCGATAGCTGCAATATTCCGCTATTAGTGTTGCGTATATAATGTAGTAAGAGTGCATAAATTAGTTTATTAGAGTTTCGTAAATATTTAATAGATAAAACATCTTATTGACGGTGTATGCTTTCGCGAATTTTCTATTCTATTTTTTTCTTTTTTTTTGTTGATCGAAAATTGCGTTGCAAATATAATAAAGCACTCTTCGTGATCGAAAATTGCGTTGCAAATATAATAAAGCACTCTTCGTGTTTTCCTCTGAGATTTTAGTATATTAGTGTTGCGAAAAGAATAGAGATTTTCCACTCACGGTTTGTTCGGGTTTACATTGAGTGGATAGTTATTGTGGTAACCCTTCTGGTTACCTCTTCTTCGTTTTTTTCTTTTCAGCATCCCCTTATTGAGACCATTTGTTATTGAAAATACTGTTAAAAGTATATTTTTTTATGAAGGAATGGTTTTCTTTTAAAATTATGAATTATCTTAATATTATTTGAATTTTTTTCAGATAATATTTCTTTTATAATTAATTGGAAAATGTAAATTATTTTCTAATTAATTACAAATGGAATCATATAATCCAATTAAGTTTGTTACAGATATGAATTGAAGAAGAAAGCGAAAAAAATGGATATGAAAATAATATTTGGTTTTCATTTGTGGAGACTAATTACTAACTCTGTTATTAATTGTGATTTTTTTTTTTGTTATAGAAACTCTTCAGCTTTCAACGGTATAGAAGAAAAGAAATTCCTTTTTTCTTTATGAGATAAAGCTTTCATTTTTTAGATAGAATCGAAAAAACATTAAGCTTTCTAGTAAATCGGATTTGTAAGCATTTAATGTTCTTTCTTTTATCAAATAATACCTTTGTTTTTCCTGATTCGAAGTTTCACACAACAATATTCCTAGTTTCCAAAAATTATGAATCATTTGCCATTCCTACATTTCTTCATTCTGAACAATCCTTATTATTAATTAATTAGTGACTTTGTTCACTAGCAATTGTTGATATATTTTTTCATGCATTTTCTTTTGGTATATATAATTCATCATATCATAAATTCCTGAAAATTGTTAATATTAATTTATTAATATTAACATAAGTTGGATTGTGAAAAAAAATATTTTAAATTTTCACTAGGCAGGTTTTATAAAATATTACATTTTTATATAGGCATATGAAAAGAATTTTTGGAATAGGTAAAATATTTAAAATGTTTTAATGCTATATTTGACTTTGTTTCAGAATCCTTTACAGAAGCAAAAATTGTAAAAATATTAATTGATTCAGTAAAATATATTTATAATTGTATGCATGCATAATCAGGGATAATTATTAAGTAAATAAATCTGTAATATATTATGGATATTATAGATAAATAAGTAAATAATTAATGGACAAAGCAATTTTGTCCAAAACAGTACTGTTGTGAGAGCTTATTTCGCTTTTTTTTTTCCTGCTTTTAATCATCGATTATGTTTCATTTTCATAATAATGGAAATGTAAAATATTGCCTAGAATATCTTTTAATTAAGTAATTTTATTTTCAGCTTTTTTTTTCGTACCAGTTTTTCTTATAACTCCTTTTGTTGTATTGTAATTGCACAATGATCAAAAAATTTGAACGTTTTGCAAACGTATACCAAAAGGAAAATTTATTTGAAAGAAAATAAAGTTTTGTTAATAAAAAATGGATAGACTCGTCGTAGTCAGAGAATCTCTTATTCACTATAATTTCAAAGCGGTGAGATCTGGGAATTATTATTATTATTATTATTTAATATACAACATATAATGGTATCATTGTATAAGTGATACAATTATATATTTTATAAGAAATAATGTGTGCTAATGAGTTGCGAGCGTGACTATATTTTTCGTACATATATATTTTATTAATATTATAAAATCATTTCATTTGCTAAAATTATAAAGTAAGTGCAGGTTTTTAAGTTGTACTATTTGAGCAATTTAATTTTGTGAATATACTTCGTTTATAGTATACTAGATGGCATAAGAACGATACTTTGATCTTTTTTAAAGTCGGTATTTTAGAACATGTGACAAAATCTCGTAATATGTCACATCTATTCTATTTGTCTTTTATGGTTTTATTTCTAATTTTCGTTCTATTTCTAGTTTTTTTATTCTCCCTTAGATGGCACCATTCGCAATCTTTAGTTCTTTCGTTCCATGTCAGATGGCGCCATTCATCATATTATATCGCGTTTCGATTAGATTCGTTTGGTTAGAAATATGAGGAAAATTTGCATGATATTTCAAAATATTCCTAATGTTAAGTAAAAAAATTTTTACGTTTCATATTAGTATTTTTATCCGTTATTGATATAGTCACGTTATTGATATAATCAATTAATATCTTATTTTAATTTTCGTGAGTTTTATAGGATGTACAGGTTAGGAATAAATTTAATTGAAGCATTGGAATATTTAACCATTTTCGATAATGCATATAACATAATATATAATTCTAATATGTGCATTTACGTAGATGTAGATTTATTATACAATAAAATTTAATATTAAACGTAAATATTTTATGTTTCGTCGAATTGTTTTCAACTCCCATCATTCGTTATCTGTAGAAAAACATATCGTCATATTGTAATTATAAATTCTATGCAAATGAAAGAAATGAATTTATGTATATTTTGCAAGTAGGTACTTATATCGATGATTAATATCATATATAATGGTAAAACAATTTTTTACGTCAATACCTGTTACTTTACGAGTCATTCGTGATATATTTTTTAATTGTAACATGCTAAATGCGAAGTTTATCATCATTTACTATTTAATATGTGTGGATTATTTCTAAATAGGAAAACCAAACACATTATTTGCGAATATATAATACGTATATATCGTGATATATATATTTAAATTACACAACACACAAATTACAGCGATTTACAAACATTATAAACAAAATTCTAGGAAATCGTGTAGGAGAATGCATAAAATTTCGTCACAACCGCTTTGAATTTTTCTATTTCGGTAAATGAGGTATATCTGTGTTAACATTGTTGGCCTAGTGAATGAATTGTGTAATTGTATATCGGGCATGGGAAAAAAGTGCCGAAAAAAATGAGGTAATGCGGGTTAGATAAAAAATCGCGAAGCAGGTTTAATCTTTATCTCAAAGAATGATAGCATAGTTGATGTTGATAGCATAGATTCGTGAATTCGTATTATACGTTATTCGTATACACGTTTGTGAATTAAACATTGTAAAATTTTTATATTCATAGACTCTGTCTACTTTCGAATATTAAAGAAGAAAAAGATTATTGAACAAAAATCTAATTAAAAGGTATAATCGAAACGTAACATTTTAAAATGAAACTAAATTAAATTCATCTTTAACTATCTTCATGATAACAAAAATGATAACAAGACGAACGAATAAAATAACGGAAATGAATTTTCATGAAATAATCATTACATTTTTGGTTTTGTAATATGGAGAAAGAAGCGAAAATATTAAGCACCTCTTAATTTCTCGCATTTAATGATCGAGATGCGAAATAAGAAAAATAAAGAGACACGGAGAGAACAGAGAGAAACGCGACAAAATATAAAAGGAAAGATAATAAATTGCTTCGCGAAGATTCTTTTTTTTTTTTTTTTTTTTTTTTTTCTTTTTCTTCTCGTTTTTAACTGAAACGACTAATAAATAAGTCGTTCTGTCATCTATCGTATCTACGTGTAATTACGCGCACCATTTTTGCGAATAATAAACAAGATAATCGATAAAATCGTGGAAACCGGCGAATGCGAATATTATCGGTTCGAATATTTAAATCGCATACTATACAGATTAATATTACAGTAACTACATAAGTATTGGATATGCATCGCTTTTTTTACACGTATACACACACATAAGTGCATAGACCTTTCAGCCGCAAAGGATGCGGCGTGATATTTTCTCCACGATTTGAACGTATATTTATATATATATATATATATATATATATATATATATATATATATCGTGT